ATCTCGTTGCAAACACAACGAAGTATATAAGCGAAAACATGGTACCGCTGGCGCGTCTCTTCTTTATTCCTTCCGTTCCCCTTCACACTCCCCCTCCTAGTCCCCCTAAGACAACACCGTACTTCGGCTTAGTTAGTATCACGTCCACTGATGATACCATGGACTGTTCATTTGCTATATTGTTCTCAACTGCTTTTGCTCGTGCTACTCACAAACCTTCTTTACACGCCACCTCTTCATTTGTTACTAACCACCGATCAGTTACCAGCTGATTCCTGTTTCCAGGATTCTACTCCCGATGGTTTCGTCGACACCTACAGAGCTCGCCCAGTGGCCCTCCTTCGACCTCGTTCCGTCTGGCATGCTTCAATGTGCGTACACTCATGCAGATCGGGAAGCAGGCTGGTCCTGCGTGCATTTTGGAATCCCTCGCCATCGATGTTTGCTGTCCTTCGTAACGCGCTTACAAGATTTCAGTACTTTGCTTGAGTAGAGATCTCTCACTGACCACAGAGCCACCTTCCACCTACGTCTATCCGGTGACACAGAAGTAGCTGCGGCAGGTTTGGCTATCGTTGGTGCAGCGCTAAGTGGCAAAGCCGAGGCCGCGCTGCTCTACTGATTCCCGTTTAGTAGCCGGCTGTGTGCAGTTTGGCTTTGGGGATCATGCAGGCTCAACAGATATCTTGAGGAGAGACGCAACTTGTTTGTGATCTCAGCTTACGCTCCAAATGACTGCAGTTCCAACTCAGTCAAGAATGATTTCTACCGCGAACTTCACCAGCTCTTGAGCACAGCCTGCAAATCCGATATTGTCATCCATGTTTGGGATCTCAACGTACGGGTTGGTCGCCTATCATCTTGCACAAGTCACCTCGGTAGTCACTATGCGCTAGATGAGAGCCGTTCAGATAATGGAGAGAGACTTCTCACACTGTGCATAGATAATCATCTAGTTTCCTCGAGTATCAGCTTTCGGCATTCGAGGAGACGTTCCGCCACTTGGCAACCCCCTTCTGCGTCTCAATCCTAGTCTCAGATTGATCATATCGCAATCAGTTTCCGTTGGGGAGGTAGTGTAAAGGATTGCAGATCCACCTGGTCTACATTTCTCCACTCAGACCTTGCTCTTGTTTGTGCGACCACCTGTATTATTTTCGCAGGGTCCCTGATAACGAAGCACTAAGATGGGTGCAACTAAACTATCTACTTTCTCGGTTCAGCAGAGCTATCAAGCTTCCCTGGCCGATACACTTAGCTGTGACCCTCCGCACGACATTGAAGGACACTGGACGTTCTTGCAGAGGACCATGACCTCTGTGATCTTAGTCAGCACCCCCTGAATGCCTAGATCTCCACGCGCCCTTTAAATCTATTTGTCAGCCGCAGAAATATCGCTGTGGGGTCTAATCATGGTGAAGTGCGGCGTTCTGTCAGTCGGCAGCTCAAACAAGGCCTACACATTGATCGTGAAGCCTGGTGGTCCCAGCGTGCTTCGGAAATAGGGGCTGCTACCATCTGGCAATATTCACAAGCTCTTCCAGCTCATTCGGTATACTGGCCACAGAAAACTTGGTGTCAGTGAGACTATTCACGAAGCGGTTGGTTCGCTGAGAGATGCTTAATTGGACCTCACCGTCCACTTGTATGCCCTGCAAACTCAGCTGTCTTCCCTGGGTCGTCACCTTTGATCCACCCAGCGAAGCGGAAGTTTGTCTTGTGATTCGAAGCTGTTCAACTATGGAGGCTCAGTTATCATTAGTCAGCTAACCTCATTGTTCTCCAAAATCATGCATGAAGTAAAGATGCCTTCTTCCTAGGGCGAGTCAGTTATTGTTCCGATTTTTAAGTAGGGTGCTCGCACTTCATGTACCAATCACTGGGGGATTAGTCTCATTCCGGTTGCCTCCAAGCTATTGGCATCGATTCCAGTATGTAGACTATCCCCGATTCGTGAATCGAAGTACCGCGAAGAGCAATCTGGCTTCCATGCTGGTCATGGGAGTGTGAATCAAATATTCACACTCCGCCAAATCCTGGAACACCTAGACATTCATGCTGTGTTCAATTCGATTGATCGACCTCCACTATGGCGTTGTTTACTACAGAATGGTGTCTCAGCAAAGTACACTTCCATCCTACGCTCACTCTACTACCACATCTCCGGCGGAGTGAGGATCTATGGCAGGCCTTCGCTGTCAATAGCGGTGTTCGAAGGGCTGCCCTGTCCCTGTTCAATTTTGCTGTTGAAGATATCCTGTCGATTGTACTAAACAGTTACCAACATTTTGGTCTACAGCTACTACCGGGCAAGCGAGCGACAGACTTAAATTATGCCGATGATATCGCTGTACTTCAGGACGGCTCGCAAAACATGCAAACCATTCTAGACCATTTGGCGACTGAGGCATCTAGGTACGGAATATGCTTTGCCCCGTCAAAGTGTAAACTGTTACTTCAGGATTGCCACTCGTCCGTTCCTGTGCATACTATTGAAGGTACACAACTTGAACAAGAAGATAACTTTGTCTATTTTGACAGCTGTTTGTCTGCTGGTGGTACCATCGGAAAGGAAGTTTCTCTTCGAATCGCCAAAGCTCGGTCGGCGTCATCGGGATGTCTCCCTCTTGGTAAAGGGTCGTGTTTACAATGCCACTGTCCAGGTAGTGTTGTTATATGGAAGCGAATCATGGCCATTTCGCATAGACGACATGCGCCGGATCTTGGCCGTCGACAATGGATGCTCGTGTGTAGTGGCAACAACACATCTGTAACAGTGAAGTCAGACGTCCTATCTTAGAAAATGCGAGTGTTCCCTTCCACACGCTGATTTTGCTGCGTCAGTTAAGATGGCTCGGTCACGTCCTGTACATGTCAGCTGAGCGTTTGCCCCACTGCGCCCTTTTCGCTCGTGCAAGACCTGACTGGAATCGAGTACGTTTCGTTCAGCCGTCACCCGGCGACAGCATACGAAATCTTTGCGTTTACGTCTTGCCACCATTGGACCCACACGTCTGCCTGATTGCTGACCGAAGGACGAGGAGTGCCGATGGCTGGCAACAATTTTTGATATGACGCACAAGCGAAATCAGTGGAGGGTCTGTGTACAAACCTGTATGGATTTAGATGCCTAATGCTTGACGATTGAAAAAGAAAATTAAAAAGCCGTGTTCAAAATAACAAAACATATTCCGTTTTTTTCCTTTTATTGCAACTCAATAGCTGAATTGCTCACCTTCAGCTAATGTGCCATGATGAAGATGCCTTGATTAAACCTACTACTTACAGCTGAACCTGTCTTCTAGTGCCTTCCATTTCTATGTCTATTCTCATAGACTATTACTACTACTGCCACGTGAGCTTTCCGCCAATCAAAATACCTGATGAAGTTTTAAAGGACGCATCAAAACTCTTCCACCTCGAGTGCATGCTACCAACCGACTAACGAGCTACGCAGCCGAATATCGTAATCATGTACTTTATTGGGCAATTTGGGACAGTTATGTAATGACCGTCAGCTAATGGTATACAAATCAGTGATACTCTGGTTTTTCTCTACGACAACTAAGCATGCACGCTGTGCAGTATGGACCTCAGATGTCTGGAAGGATTCCGTCAGCAATGGCTGAGTCGGATTCAGCGCATGTTTTCTTATACGAAAGTGGTCTGTTTGAGCGCTATATTCAGGATGAATTGCTTACTTCCGCTGCGATGCTTGAAGTGTCTTGGACATGCCTGCCGAACTGATGCAGTGAGAATATCGCATGGCCAATTGCGTGCGTGTAACCGAAATGTGAGTGAACCGGAGCTGCGCTGTCACAAGACATGATCAGTGTGTGTTTATCATTAAATTATTTCGGCTTGAAGTGTTTGGATGAAATGGCACTGGATTGTCCCTGCTCTCGAGAATACATCAAGAATGACAGTGCTTGAGTGCATCCAAAAGCACTATCGCATCGTGAAGAAAAACCGGGTATGCAAACGATAAGCATTGATGCTACCCAGCTTCTCGACCTCAAGCGCATGGTACTGTATCACACACGGTCGTGTTTACTTCAGCCGAGCTGATCATCAGCTTGGTCACCAGAGGTCAACGCCGCGTAGTCGACCGGTGAGTTGAATCAGTAAGTATTAGCACTTGGTAGATACGTTGCTTCTGATTCCATTTGCTGACCCAATTCAATAATGTGGCATATATCCGTGGCGTGGGTGTTACAGCTGTGTACTGACTCGTCTTGTATGCAAAATGCACATTCTTGGCTTGACTCTTCATGTGAATGATGTACCGTAGTTAACTCCGTTAAATCACGCCTCCTAACGCTGAGACAATGCCGTTTTGAACTAGTAGCGCTGACGTGCAAAAATTCAAGTCGTTTGTATAACATTGTCATATTCAGTCATATCTGGAGCTCTATAACGTGGTGGTAGCTTGTGGCAAATGTAAGCTATCACAGCGCTTTTCATCAACACCACTTTCGAACTTCACGCATTGATTGTTATCCCACGACCGTCGACGTTCGTTTTTATGGTCATCTTTTACTTGTTTTATCCCCTGCACAACTTTTGGTCATCTCTGCTGGTTTATTACTTAGGATTTCGTAGAAAGTAGAAGTCACGATTAAAATTCACACACAATAATGTGCCTCGACGGGGAATCGAACCCCGGTCCAACGAGTCGGTCCGCTGCTCTACCACTGAGCTACCGAGGGCTGACGATTAGGTGCGCAATTTTTAATACATGACTTCTGCTTGGTGCGCGACATATTTCCAATGACCTCACAGTATCTGTCCTGGTGTTGCAGATTGGCTCACTCACCCGTCACTTCCCAATGGACCGAAGTTTCTGTCCTTTATATGACATGTCTTACTTCACCACTCAATATGGTCATGAACCAATCGCTTTGTCGACAACATGTTCCAGCATTAATTCCACTTTTTCTCATCAACACTATCCCAGATAAATAAATTAATATGACCTTGTTTGTCTTTCTCTACCACAGGCTTGGGCTTGCCGTTCAATATGAATACCGTGACGAAAATGATCAGAATATTCGATCGCGATCTGAGTGGATGTATTGAGTTTAACGAATTTTCCGAGTTGTATGATTACATCAGTCGATGGAAGCAATGTTTTGAGGCTTATGATGCTGATCGCTCGGGTACCATCGATGAGCGTGAGCTGATGCAAGCTCTTAACTCATTTGGGTACAGACTATCCCCAACGTTCGTGCGAACAATTATTCGGCGATTCGACAGATCTCGTCGTGGTGTGATCGGGTTCGATGACTTTATCTATGTGCTTGTTTGTTTACAGGTAGGTCACATGCCGTTTTTCTTGATATTCTTTTTTCACTGTCATCTTGCTTACTTATTCATTGTTTGCTCAAGTTAGTATTTCCTATCCTTCTCGTTACTTTCGTATTCTTTCCATTCCGTTTCTCCCCCAGCAATTAACCATTGCCTTCATGCCCTATGATCAAGCGAAGCGTGGATTTGCAATGATGAATTTCGAGCAGTTTCTCTTGGCCGCTTTCGCTACGGTATCGTAGTAGCGCATCTTTTCAGGATACGTGATTCTTCCTTCGTCGCAATAGCCTTCAATCCTCATCATTACAGCCCTTCTGGCGAAGACTGCTTTGTATGTAACACACTAACCACAACTGTTGTACGTAATCAGAGTCAATGCTTTTGTATCTCTATTTCTACCACTTATACTGTCGTCTTTCAGATGCTGGATGGCTTACGCATCCAACACATTCTTTCTCGACTTACTGTGGTCTCTCTGTTGTTGTATCCATTATGAGTCTGCGTCTGTACACGCGTTTGTATGCCACGCTACGCACACATCTTCAAATGGCACTGCACAGCAAACGTATTCATTTACTGCCACGGTTCAACATCTACGTTTGGTCAGACGGACCACTTACTAGTGGGGTTGGTGTTTGCCTCCTAAAATTGTTCGATTCAGTTGTGTTTGGACTTTGGCATCCCGACTGAGTAGGCACTTACTGGTCACATGTTTACTAGACGTAACAGACAGCAAGTTTGTCTTCAAATGGCAACTCCAATTGCAAGTCTGGGCGATAGGATCTACACTATCACTGAAGTATATCGATGTTCGCAGATGCATTCTGAGTGGAAGCAAATACAACGAGACTCACGGAGAACTCAGAGCGTAACTGCGTGCTAGGCTGCTCTCATCATGCGTTGGAGATGCAAACGATCACTGATCTTTGCAAGTTATTCAGTCCCATACATGGGCAGCAAAACACCTGATGTTAGTGAAACTCTATGCGACAAGAAGAGACAGTCCATTTGCAACTCGTCAAGACACTTGGAGCTTTAGGCTGATTATTTGAAGAGTAATCTACTCGACTAACATTGCTAGATTCCATACCTGCCAGAATCGTCCTTTGGCTTTTCTTCTAGATCTGCTCTCTCGCGTTTATTTCGAACCTGAGGTTATACCACTTTTGTTGAATAGGACTGCAAGACCAGATGGACTTGCCTCAATCCTCTTCAAATTCCGGAACCCGTCTCTTGCGGATAACTTACGCCATATAATAGTAAAACTACATGAACTGGAAACCCGTCCCAGGCAACTGAAGTTGCTCTGTTATTGCTACGATTTTCAAGAAGTTTCACATTCGAAATATGGCAGTCATAGGGAATCAGTCTGATCTCAATTGTCTTTATTGTCCCTGTGCTCCTTCATAACCCCAGAAACTGTTGACTAAACCGAAGTTCTATTCACATCTTCGCCTTGCGTCACTTTTACAGCAACACTACGTTTACTGACCATCTGCTCTACTCGTGGTCCTCGACACGAGGGGTGCTTTTGATTCAGTGGCTCGGTGTTGTTTGCTTAAGAAATATGTGTCCACAAAATGCGCAAATATCATTAGAGGGTTTTATATGCGTATTTCGAGCGAAATCTCCGGCGGTGTAAGACAAAATACCTGTTGTCACTTCTCTTCTTCAGTTTAGCTGTTGAAGACGGTATGGATAGTATGTTCACCGGAGTGGATTTTCTTCCAGGTGCTCGACTTGTAGTTCTGCGACGGCGTTGCTTTAATCTGTGCCAGCCTATCAAGCAGTGCTGGATAGACTGGCACTAGCCGTAAATTAAGTCAACTAGTTACCGCTTTGTTTTGCACACCTATGCTGGGTCACGTGTGTAACGGACAGGAGCAATAATTGAAACAGGGTGCGATAAGTCGACACATATGATACAGTGGTTTCTTAAAACCTGGATAGATTTCATATTACTGAAGCAGTCTACCATCCAGTTTTTGATAGACTAAGTTTTGCTTCTTCAGAAAAATACATAACAAGTATTTGAAAAGCAGGGAAAGAAGACGAAAGCTGGTAGATGCATGCATTTCGTATTGTCTCCTCAGTACCATTAACATGCATCTGCCAGCCTTCGTCTTCTTTCCGTGCTTTTCGAATGATTGAAGGGAACTAACTGATATAAATAACAAATACTTGTCAACTGGCGTACTCTTGTCCCATGTGTATGTTTTTCTGATTGTGGAGGTTGAAATATGCTCGGACAACCCTCCGTGAGAGGGTGGGGTGCTTAGGATCATTGAGTGTTTTCGACACATTTCTTGCAAGAACAAACATGTTTGGATACGATGTTATTTAGTTTCTACGTCAAATTTCCACTTCACTGAGGAATTGGTCTCAATGACATGGCAATTACTTTGCGATTCTTACTCATGACCACGGACCATCTCGAGCGAGCAGTAGGTTTAGTGGCGTAACACATGCACACACTCAGTGATAAACTGTAGAATCAAACAACGGGGTACATATGAAGACCCGAGACGGGTGACAGAGCGATAGTCTCCTGACTTTAGTGAATATCTCGCTCACGCGGAGGGACTGCGTAAGATCAGGGCTAATTGCCACTCCCCAGGTCTTTCACTGACGTGCGACATTGTGAGCGACGTGTGAGGATTTGCTAGCAGCGATCTCTGATTAGTGAGAAATAAACATCTTTGTGTTTTGACGCGTTCAGCGACTGTCATCGAGACTTAGACAAGGCTAAGTTGTGAGATAATCCCTAAAGGTTTGTAGTTTGGCCGATGGATACCTGGGATTACGTCACCTGCATATTTCAACAAGATTGTTTCTTCCTGGACGTGGATTAAGTCGATAATATATGTGAGAAATGTCGTCACATTGGCCCCTTGCGGACGCATTATTTCTGCTCTCATTCTTCTTGGGATTAAGCGGTCAGTTTTCAGCATAGCCGGCTGTTGTACTCGTTCGACCAAGCAAGACGAGTTCCACATTGTGACTGCCAGTTCGATCATCGCTTCTTTCAAACTTCTTATTTCTGCTTTTCGATACCTATGCTCACGCTCACAGCTTTTTTATGGTTTAAAATTATTTCAGGTTATATATGGAAGTCGATTAGAACAGCTACTCAACGAATTTAAGACTAGTCACAAAACCGGCCGCATAATGCCGATGCCGCTAATTTTCTAATCCTGTCACAGCCAATTGGTCTGTAATCTTCGGAAAGCTACTCGCAAATACCTATCGCCATTTAGACTCGTCGGTTCAGTCCACAGCCTGTGCTTCGTTCCAAGGCCTATCTGGATTCGCGCACATACGACTGACCTGTCGCGAAAGGTCAGGAATGCATTGCGCTTGAGCTGACACAACTAAAAACCGGTGCATCATTGATACCATCCGATCAAGACCACTAATTTTGTAACGCGTTCGGCATGATGGAAAGCTCACGTTAAAAAAAACAAACAGCGTATGATTCTCGGAGGGAGAGATCCAACTATTTCGTATCCATGTGTATTTGTCCCTCATTGTTTCGTCAAGTTTACTGGAGTTGCAATTTATCTTCATGAACTCTCAGTTTGAACTCAACGCGGCACTCATTTTCCTAGTCCATTCTATCTTAACGCGGTATCTCACATTTAGTTTCATTCTCATGCCTGCAGCAAACCCGCGGTCAATGAGGACAAATGTATCACCAACCAGAATATCCCGATACCAAAATTTGTACAACCGACCAAGGTGCCTTACACAGCGGCCGGATCCAGTGGTACAAATTACCCAGATTTAGTCTGTGTTGTGGTATAATGCTCTGTGCTGCCTATTGACCTGATAAAGGTACCTGAAGGATATCCTTCCGTATCCGAATCACGTGTCGAGGTTTCTTTAGAGGTTAGCACACATCTATGCTGCAATTTCCGCATAATCAAGCTACTTTATTTGAATCATCTACAAGGATTACCAAAACACGTAGTACAGTGTACCAACTTCGCGTACACTGCGAAATTCAGTGATTTTCAATCTGCCGGACAAATTACGATTGGAAACTTCAGAATGGACTCACTGTCCCATACTTTTCTAATCTCTAATGGAATCACTAGTTCAGCAGCTCATTCAAAGCTCATTCAAGTTAACAGCTTTTAAACTCTTGTTAGTTGTGGGAAACAACCCAGTAACAGCATGAAAATAAGCAACGGCAGGCGGATGCAAACCCTACCATAAGCCCGTATCTAGTCGAAATTGCTCCAGTAAATAGTCACATGATCATGTCTGTGCAGGCGTGCCTCGCGTAATCGAGACTACTATTTATTGACAATGATCTTCAGATCAGTACGCCGTAACGAATCACATAAACATGCGAACTAATTTAGTTCGTTACCCGCTATAGCTAGCTTGCTAGTCAAGAATAAACTATTTATTGGCAATGGTCTTGAGATCAGTACCCCGTAGCGAATCACATAAACATGCGAACTAATCTGGTCCGTTACCCGTTATAGCTAGCTTGCTCAATTCCGGCGCTCCCTGCGGTAAAGTCAACGTCATCCTCAAAAGTGGTCACTAGAAGACTTGCGCAAGATGACAGTTACACGACTACGCATTCTACGCTGACCACGCCCGGAATGATCACAACCCACGGATTTAGTGACGTTTATGGTACCTCCTCGCACAAAGTCAGGTCTGGCATTTATATCGGCGTTTCTGATGCGTTTTATTGCGTGTGATGTGGTAATAATGGGGTTCGGGGAATGTCAACTGCGATAATCTTTGAGTCCCAAATGCAATTAAAACCAGTACTTCAAACGTCTGCCCATTATATCACACCTAAAGTCTATCCCGGTCAGTAAGTAAGTTCGTCAAAGGTATCGATTGGACCGGACAAACTGATAGACAACCGAGGTTCAGTTGATTTAGGTTTATCCTTGCCGTCACTGCACGAATTTTTTTTATTTGGCTCAGACATTAGTCTTAGTCATGAAGATATGGTGGACGCTCTAACATCTTCGCATCCTACTCACAATGTATGAGTCACCGGTATCCGCTCCCATTTATGGATAATACGACATATGCTTCTCTTGGTGAATGGGTCGACATTGGTATGCATCCGCCGCGTATACCGATGCCCTATGATTCTGTTACACATAGATAGATTAGACCCAATAGCGGAAATGATAACTTCCCATGGATCTCTACGAACGACTTACGTGATCAACAGCGTCATGATGCATGTAAAATCCAAAGCGAAATTTGATTATTCAGCCAAACTAGATTACCTATTTGAGGACATGATATCCCTGTTCCCAAACCATTCAATCACTTCTTTACAGGAATTCACACGTTTGCTTTGAACCCTTGCATTATGAACTATTTTACGTTTTCACTTCACACCATTGGTTTATCTCTGGCTTCTTTAAGTCAAATATTTGACCTTTGACAGACTGCCGATTAGCAGAGAGCTACGCTGCACCGTTTCCACACGCCGCCGCACGTCTTCCAGTTTTCGCCTTTTCTCACTACGATTGCAAACCTGGAGTCAGCATACAGCCGAACTTCCTCTAACGGACGGTGAAACTAATGACCGTCGTCCAATACATCAAGTCACCTCGCACTACGGATGCGCGTGGTCTGCAGTTGGTGGGTTTTCGGGAAGTGCGCCGGCGGTCAACTACCGCCATGGCAGAGCCCATTCTGATGGCGCATGTTCTTGAACTCATCGCACTAGTACTGTTCATGTAGTACTGAATAACATGTGTAGCCTGCG